ATCAAACACACCTGAACAAGCTAATCAAGGTCTGAAGGATTACTAAGAAGCTACAGGCAGATGAGTTTTTATTAGGGTTGGAGCTGAACTCTGCAGTACCGGAGTTCGCCACCCCTGGACTATACTATAGCACTACTGCTATATAACAAGTATGTTACACTCCATCCTATGCATGTTTCGTCAGCCCTACAGGGTGGTTTGAACATCCCTGCGGGTCACACACACATTTCACTCACCGCCATACATGTATATTTATGTACTGAACTCAATGTCGGTTTGTTTCTTGTGCAAAAAAAAAAGTGTAACAGGAAGTTATAAGGGACTCAGGAATTATTAATCTCACGAAACAGCAATTTTCAAACAAAACAATGGTTTATTTATAAAAGAGAAAAGGCAAACTTAAACATTTGTGGAATGCATGGCTTTAAGACTCTTTTGGCCATGATCATTGTGTAATCATGGTATTTATTTAAATAAGGTTGCTGCATTACAAAGCACTTAATTAACATAAACATCTTTTTTGTAATTCTTTTTAAATTAAAATAATTGTCAATTATATCATCTTCAGATACAGTATAAACCATCACTGCATTCAAAAAACTAAAAAATCAAACAACTCTGCTTCTTTCTCTTTCCAGAAGGTGAAACTGCGATCAATATATTTACAAATTTCATCATTACTAAACATTGAGAAATCACTGCTTCCATCTCTGCTGGGATGTCCTCCATCATTTGATACGGTATTCTCGAAGATAACCTGTGGCACAGCTTTAGAATTCTTCACGGATTCCTTAGATATCCCATTTTCTCTTTTCCCAAAGCATTGCATTTTGATGTCCTCAAAACCATCTTTCCACTCACGTCTTCCAGCCTCAATCTCCCTGAGGACAGCCCGGTGGAAATCTCGGACCGTCTCCCAGGGAAAGTTCCCCTCGTGGTCGAACACCTCAAAGCATAGCAGGTGCCTCATCTTACGCTCCTCAGCTGGGAGATCCTGCTCAAGAATGTAAAAATAGCCAAGCATGAACAAGTCAAGAGTCAAGCTGTCGTAAGCAACAGGAGCACTGTCCACACGAGGAAGGAACTGCTTGGGCGAGTAAGTCACGTGCTTCCTTTGTAGCCTGATCTGTCGTGATGGGACCCCTGAGGCGATGCGTTTCCAGTTGTCAATCATCTTCTCTATTGCGGTTCTTTGCCTGTAAAGATGATACAGTGATCTGTTTCCTGGCTCGGAGACTGGCGCTGTTATTCCTTCTCCTGTAAGAGTGCCAAGCTCTTGTTTCATCTTGGCTCGCATTGATATTGCATACGCAGGCCTTTTCCAGTGGCTCAAAAAGAGGACAACAATACGCTCCTTTCGCAAGCAGGTGGTCTCCATCACTTTATTTGCATCTTTGCCTGGTGCCTTTTGGCACTTTATGCCACTGTCATTAATGTGATTTAGGTCAGTGCTTTGAGTTGGCTGCTCCTTACGATTTGTTGATGTAGTCCGTTTTTGCTGCCTTGTGTCTGATGTGTTGTTTAAAAGCCCAGAAAATGGGTAGATGTTTCCTATCTGACCCTCAAAGTTGGACCTCAGATTTCTCACAGAAACTCCTGATTGCTGGATCTCCATTTCCACCTTTTGCCTTCGTCCCCTGATTGAACTTTGCCTCTCTGGCTGGAATGTGAATACCGATGCCAGATCTGTGTTTGGCATCTTACTAATCCCATCCTCACTGTTTGTTTCTGAGAGGTTTGTCAGGAGCAGTGACATGCTCTTTACTATATTTGAGATACGATTGTACCACCAAGGAAGAGGCAGAGATTCCATGTTTGGGAGCTGCTGGCACTGGGTGTTGATGGTGATATTAATGATGGGAGCAGGAAGGATGGTCCTGAGTTCCTCCGCCAGTCGAGCAAGCTCTAGTTCATAGGCCTGGCATTGTTTCTGAAGGGAGATAGTTTCAATCTGTCCCTCCAAGTAGACCAGGTCATCTTCAGTAAGCTTAATTTTTTAGGAAGGGCAAGTTAACAACAGTGCCTCAAACAGTGCTAATCTTGTAAATACAATTACAGATGAAAATGTTAAAATGTTAATTGATGAAGAGTTATTTGATTTCTTATGATTTCAGCATTAACAAAAATGAGATTTATGAGCTCTGGTTTCACAACAAATGCATTTTTTTAATTAATATATAACATGATAAATACTTGCTTTAATTTTAAACTTTCTTATTAACTAAACTTTTCAAATTTATAGTTTTTTGATATGATTATTGCAAGTTTTATTGTATAAATCAGCACTGAATTACATTACTATTGGCATGGTTTTAAAAGGCTGCATAACCTATAACAACCAATCAGTCTATAGGTGTTGGAGGGGGGGG